TTCATTTTTCATGCTTCCGAAATATCCTGATGTCTCTACAGTGGCGCCCGAAGTAAAAGAGTTATGGATTATGATTCTCCACCCCCCAGGATTTCGCGATTGGGTCCCCTAAAACCCCAGTCATCCTTTAAAAGGGGGAGTATATTGTAAGCAAGTATGCAATCTCTCCGATATCCCTCCGTAAACTCTGAGTTTTGCAGACCTCCAGGCTCTGGTTTAAAATTCAGTCTCCGGGTTCAGTAATATTTTATAGTACATGAAATATGTTGTGATATGGTAAGCAGACTTAACTAAAAAAGGAAAAATGCAATATGTTTTACTCGGCTCAAATCAGAGATATTCGGGATTAAATTTGTTTAACCCTTACAGCAGGTAAGTCAGAGTACTGCTCGTTAAATTTGATCCTCATCATTTAGTGATAGAGCAGCATATAGCATATGACGACATTAACGTCTTAAGCTTACTGTACCGTTATTGGCGTTAACCGTTTTATATTATTTTTATGAAGTATACGCATTGTTAAAATGCAATCAAAGGTAAATTAATTTTCCCCATATTTATATTAATATGACTACGTGTAATAACATAATAGTAGTTTCATTTAATAATAGCATATAGCATATGACGACATTAACGTCTTAAGTTTACTGTACCGTTATTGGCGTTAACCGTTTTATATTATTTTTATGAAGTATATGCATTGTTCAAATGCAATCAAAGGTAAATTAATTTTTCCCATATTTATATTAATATGACTACGTGTAATGACATTGTAATGTTGCGCGCTTCCAACCTGCACGCAACAATAGTGGTGACTGCTGAGAACTGGAAAGTAGGCAAAGTCTTGAGAAGGGCTTAAATCTCTTTTTATTCAACTTTAGATATTACAAATGCGTGCTCTTTACGCTCACAAACTACGCCGACCCGGCGGTAAAATAAAAATAAAAAACTAAAGAATAGTAACAAGTGACTAACTACGAGGCTCTCTAAACGTAACTAACCTCACCGCGTTCTAAAATACCGCTGATAATTCAGCAAACTTCTGAATATTACGTTGAAAGATTAACAATCTGCCGAGGCAAGCACACAGGCCGAAACGCGTGGTTCTTCAATTTCTGACTAGCCACCTCCACGCTCGTGAAGCAAGAAAGCACACTTTCGAACTCGTTTCCTTTCTATTTAACTCAGATTACTTCCGCTGACAATTTGAATCCTTGCGCGTTCTACTAAAATTTACATACTCTGGCATTGGCAATTCCAGTGGAAAGTAAGGCTTGACAGGAAAAATAGTTTAAACTTAAAATAAATGTTAGTTAAAATAAATATAAACCCTACAACATAATAGTAGTTTCATTTAATAATAGCATATAGCATATGACGACATTAACGTCTTAAGTTTACTGTACCGTTATTGGCGTTAACCGTTTTATATTATTTTTATGAAGTATACGCATTGTTCAAATGCAATCAAAGGTAAATTAATTTTTCCCATATTTATATTAATATGACTACGTGTAATAACGTAACAGTAGTTTCATTTAATAATATACAGTATTTACATTAATAAATAAAGTGTGACATTTAGTACGAATATATTAGTAATTTAATATAATAATTACCGATTTTAGCTTAAAAAATAACAAATTCTGAGAAATGTCTAATTTATTACATTTATTTTTAATTTGTTAGTTTAAATATCTTCGAGGCGACACTCACTGAGAGGTTGCAATCATGCCCAATAACTAGCTACTCATAGACGCTGCTGAATACACAAATCATTTTAAAAATATCTAATGGGCAGTACTAATTGTTTCGCCGCAGAAAAACCAGAGCCAAGGTCGATCACTTGCCTCCCAAGATCAGCAACCGAGGTGAGGGTGGGCCCGAAATTAGTGAAACTCTTTCCTTTATACTTTTCTTTTTTTAACCCAAAGTTCAACCTTGACGGATCTGTCGGGTGCGGCACACAAAGTGGCAGAGATGCATCGGAAAAAAAAAAGGGATAAAAATTCCTCAGCCAGCTACAATAGCGAGCATAAAAGGTTACCGAAAGTGGAATTATAGGTCAAAAGCGACATAACTTTTGTTTCGATTCAGTTATCCTCCATTTTATTTTGTTTTATCGGTGTGTTTTTCTTTTAATTTCTCTGTCTTCTGGCAGAAGAAAGTGAGGCTGGAAATGGCGTGAGACAATTATGATTAATCTCTTTCACTGCTCCAGATTCCTTCTTGCACTTAGAGATATTGGATCAGCAGAAGTACTCCTCAGGCACGTGCTCTGGAATAAATAAATTTTCTTGACACGAGAAGGGTATTTAAATGGTTATTACTCACTGCACTTTCGTTTAGCTTCTTAGGAGTTTACTGTGAATAACTCAAGGCAATTAGCTAAGGTACTTTCGTACAACAACGAAGACAGGTGCTTATTTTTGTGATAAGAAATGGCGGTAAGCCTTGCGAGCTTGCACAAGAAAAGTTTCAACTAAAACGAGTCTTTGTAATTTATAAAAACCTAATAACTGACTAACTGCAAAATAACTAACTGTCTACCTCTTTCAATGTTTCAACTTAAATAATAATTTTATGTGCTGTTGTACTCCACGAATGAGCAACTGGCTTTCCGAGACAAATTAATCAAGATTTATAATTTTCAACTAATGACTTCTTGATGCTTATATGTTTTTATATTTTTAACGTTTACGGAATATTTTCAGAATACGGTTTTTATGTATGTATTACTGCATTTTGTCTTGGTACTACAATGTTTATAAATGTAATATGAAATAAACTTAATGACCATCTTGATCAAATTAACTTAACAGCCATCTAGTAATCGTAACGAGCATCTGCCGTTTGTATTATTTTCAAGGCGTACTTATTAATATTAGCTAAAAAAATAGCGGCAACATATATATTAAATTAGTCATTGTCTCTATCCAAATTTCCAAGTTGACCACATTAGTTTTAGTCCGTTCTTATTCTCTGAGATATCTGTAAAATAACCACAGTTAAAGTCCGTTACAACGTCTGCTCATTACAGCTATCATTTCATTATGATGATTTGTGCAAAACGTCTCCAGTAGATGAGAATGTATTAAATGCCATTTTATTGCAGTGATTACACATTATAACGTCCTTTTTTATATCCTTTTTAATGAATGGTCGTTATAATGAGCGTAGACTGTATATGGTAAAAATATAACTCAATTTTCCGGAAACATTCAAAATTAAATAAAAACGAGGTGATAATGATTTGTGTATATAAGTATTTATGACGTGACGGCGAAAATAGTTTTAAAAGAATACATTATAGTTAGATAGAATGATTTCAAAACGAAATTACTCTGTTACAAAAATAGAAAAAGAAATCGCTTTTAAGTATAAGAAAGTATAAGTATACTTATACTTTAGTATAAGAAATATACTAAAGTATATACTAAAGTATAAGAAATATACTAAAGTATATACTAAAGTATAAGAAATATACTCGCTATAGTATAAGAAAGTATACTTATACTATAGTATTAAGGAAATTAATTTTTTCTGCTAACATTATTGCACATTTGCTAGGTTTCCGAAGAAGGTTAGTTGGGAATATTTTAATCTTACGTAACTCAAAGCAATTACTTATCAAAGGCGAAGATCCATCTTTTATTGTTGTAAATGCGTGATTAAATACTTTTAGAAGCTATATTTCATTAAGTCAAAAGAAAAATACGTTTGAGCTGTGAACTGTAATTTAAACCCAACTGAAGAATACATATGATCTATAATCTCTCTTGATTCATGATCTAAAAGCAAAAGGCCACACATAAGCCTTAGGTTCAAGATTTCTGCACAAGATATAAATCATCACGGGAAAGAAATACTGTAGAACCCAAATAAAAGAATTTTCTCTTTTAAGACGTTTGATATTTAAAGTTTCAGAATAAAGGTAGATGCAAATTTTTCCAAGATTTGTTCCAATTTAATAAATTTTCTTGCTCCAAAAAGCATGATTTAATTCTATCAGATAACTGATTTTATTATGTCAGAGATTTATTATATCAGATATAATAATGAATTATTAAGATTACTGTTATTATTATTATTATTAATGCAGCATGTTTTAAGAAATGTATCCTAAAAATCATATTAAAATCTCTCTATAGTGATTGACCTTAAAAATTAATTAAAGTTTTGTAATTTTACGGTAAATTAAGAAGCATTCTTCTGTAGTGTATTTGTATTAATTCCAAACAAGTGTGCAAAAATTTCGTAATTCAAATTTTAATTCCTTCGAAGTCGGAAAGGCTCATAAATGGTCGAGCAGTTAAAGTCGCTGACCATTGGTAGTTCGATCTGGCATCAAATCATGGGGAAAGGTTCTCAAGGGAATACGAGCCAGTTTCTCTTAGAAAGTCCTCCTCTTAGCCAGATAGTCCTCGCGTACTTTGCCACAGTCAAACAAACTAAAACTGAAGATGGAATATCCTTTAAATTTTAGTCAATTGGCTGACCATTTGCTTCATTTGATACATATCACGATGCTATAAGTTTGATTACTTTGCCTGAAGACGAAGTTTTCAGCTCTCAGGTATTTTCGGTAGATTTCATTAAAGAATTATAATTACCAAAACTTTAAATGCAAACTATTGCAGAAAATTGTAAAAATTTGTCTCTTTGATATTCCCGGTTGTTGAAGGATCCTAATACTTTCATAAACTTTCCCTTTTAATCAGTTTTTCTGACTAAGAAGATCACTTCTGAAAGTTGCTAGTATTTCTCAAAAAATATTTAAATAATGATATTTAGCATAACCAAGAATCTTGCACTGTCATTCTTTTTACACGTCAGCAACGATATAAAGTTGAAGAGAAGTAAGTGTTAAGTATAAACAAAAACCAATTCCTATTAAAATCATAGATTACTGCATGCTTTTCATTAATTACTATACCATTTCAAACTTTTTAAGGAAGACAATTATGAATCCAAAGGTACTCTGAAATGTTTGCGGATATACAAATAGCATTTGTCGTGTAGCAATAGAATTATTCACCATATTTAACATATTTTAATAAACTATAGAATACTATAATAAATCATAAATGCTATAGAAAATAATCATACCAATATCAAAATTAAAACTAATTTAATCGATCTTAAATTTACTGTAGTTTTTTTTTTTTTTTTTTTTTTTTTTTTTTTTTTGTACAAAATCTCTCTGAATTTCAAAAGAGATATAAGAAAGATCCACATTCTTCAATGAGTGCCCAAAATATTTTCGCTCCTTGAAGTTCCATACCTCTCTTCTCGAAATCTGAAAAAAATTGTCTGCAAAATAAACGAAAGTTTCAAATTAATTTTTGCCTCTTAAGAAACATAATGAATTTAATGCTTCAATTATCAAATAAAGAGTTTCATCTCAAATTCTCATCTTCCACTTATGTTAAATATATTAATTATAAAATTCCGTCAAGTGTACTACTAAATTAAATAAACTAGAAATAATCTACAAGTAAAATTATCTAAGATATTAATAATGCTATTTTCATTAGAGTCTAAATCCTCTTACAGCAATAGAACCGTGACTTTGTTCTTGTAAAATACAAAAATTTGAAAGAAAGCATTTTCTAGTTGTAAAAATAAACAACGGCATATAACGGACAGGGTCAAAACGGTGGTTCAAAAATTTTATTTTTAAACGTTGTTTTAATTTGAAACAGAAATCGTGCAACTACCTGCTTTTTTACAAACATTAGTTTTATTTTAAAAATTGCATATATTTCAATTTTAAACAGTTTGAAACTCTGCGCAGTTTCTGAAACTTACTATTGTAACTGTACTTATTTTATTACAGGCAAATCCCTCAATTAGAAAAGCAAGTGAATTAGCAACATTCAGAATTAATGATGTACCTGCCATGACTCTACGAATATATTAATTTATAACTCTTGCTGAAAAAAAGCAAAACTTACGTGATGATTCAGTTTGTATTTAATGAATTAATTAAACATTTAAAGGTTCGCTTTTATCTCCGTATGTGCAAACTCGCAAGTTAACTATGTAGGAAAACTATTATTTTTGTGTGAAACTCAGCTACGCTGTGAGCGTTTCTACGTAGAGTGCTCTCTCCCACTTTGTATTTTAGAGTTATGAAGAAAAAAAAATCATTTAGTTCTGTTTTTGAAATCATTGTATAATTCTTCACTCGAATGAAAAGATTTTTACATTTCTGGAAGGATCTACTATGTCTGCTTTCTTTTTATCTCACATTTTAATAAGCTGACAGTTATAGCCAGAATAAAAATTTAAAAAAATAAAAAACAAAAGCCGTATGTGTTTCTTTTTTATAAAGAAAATATTCAGTCTTTCAAGCAAAATTTCAAAATCTGCATATCGTAGGAAGATACTCTTTAAAATACAACAGCGACAATAATTATTTATTTGTATTTATACACGAATAACCACATTTATTATAAAATGTGATATCATTTGCAAAATTATTTAAAACATTATTTTTTATTCAAAAACTGTTTTATTGCTTTAAATATATAGTTTGGGATTAAAGTAAATCTACTTTGTGTCTCTGCAGTTTTATTGGATTTTAACATGCAACTCCTCTAACATGAAGTTCAACATCTGTACATAAACTGAACAGCATAATGAATTTGAGATACCGTTACATGCTTGTTAAAATACTGCTAAGCATACTTTTACCTATTGAGACGATGTAACACAGCCTTATTTTGTGGCGACCTGCTTACTACAACTCAACACTGCCAGTCTGGTAACTCATAGCAACAAAAAACAAAATAATGTTTATTATATTGTTAATATAGATTGGAAGAAGATTGATATTATTAACGATCTGTTTTGGTTATCATAGTTGCTTGTCCAGCTATATTAATTATTAATATAATCAATTATTAATATAGTCGTTTTATCTGAATATAACTAAACACATTTAAACAGTGAATTTGCAGTTTTTAACAAAAGCGATTTTAAAAGAAGCGATTCTTTCAATAAAAAGTTTTTTCATACATCGTCAATATTTTTTGACAAATACATGTATTGTATGTTGCTGAATTTAATTAAGAAACTTTTAATGGAATTTAAAATTTTTAAATTCTATGATTTCTAATATTACTCATAAATTACAAATTTCTTTTTCTAAAAAAAGAAATGAAGAGCAAACAAGTTGTCTTATCTCACTCACTGACTTCTCGAACTTTGAATAGTTTTTTATTGTTAAAGACGTAAATAATTTTAAACGTTGATTTAAGTTTTGTACTCAGACCATAACTGTTGCGGAGTAAATATTCAGAACTGTCTACGAAATTAAATACATAGATTTCAGGTGGAATTCAGATAACATAAAATAAATATAAATATCAGATAACATAAAATAAATATAAATATCAGATAACATAAAATGTGCATTAAATTTCAAGGAAAATTTATTGAGAGAAAAATGCCTCACAATCATTGACTAAATTATAACTAAATACACATGTAATTCGGCTAGCAAAAAGATTAACGCTGGATAACCTAATTCTCAAGGCTAGTAGAGAAAATAGTACTGTAATAAACTTCGTCACCAGAGATACCTATTTAAATTTCTAGAACTCTGCTTTTATATGCACTTATCTCATTTACATCCTAGTCATACCTAAAGAAAATTAGAAGGTGTAGTATAATTCAAATAAAAAGATAAAATATATATAAAAAAATCTGAAAGGTTTCAGATTTTAAATTACGTCCTAAGGGGCGGTTTTAACGTTTCACGCATTACCTTTATTTTTTTTAATATCATGGGTCTTCTCACTTAAACTATAAAATTCAGATCAATAGTAATATTGCAAAACAATTCTTAAATGAGCATATTTTTAGAATTTCCCATACACAGTTGCGCGCTAGAAATAAAAAGGTTTTTTTTTCCTCTCCGTAGAGCGTTGCCATTGCTCGCTTTTAAATCGTTGAGTTTGTTAATCAAAAATTCGTTAAAGATTTAGAAATTTGAAATAAAATGATAAAACAAATTCCAAATTTGTGCTTCCAGATACCCATATTCGGGTGGAAACGTACGTTATTCAAAATTGGATGGCTCTAGAAACCGCTGTTTTATCACAATGCGAGAAACATACATACATTTATGCAGATTCTTCATTATTTAATTTCTTTAAATACAATACAGGGCGATAATATTTGGTGGCAACAACTTAAAATTTGAATTGGACATTTATAGCGAACCAACGCAAAAAGCCGAAACGAAACTAATAGTCCTTCAGGGCATATTGCCCCTTTAGACTAATAATGGGTTAATAAACATAAATAATCTACACTAAAACTCCTGGACTAAAGAGGAAATTTTCGCTTTAGTCCTTCGCTTCAGAATTTCATTCTCAATTTAAATATCTAATAATTTAATGGTTTTTTTAATTAGGATCTAGAACATTATTTTGTCTTCATCCCCCTGTGTTATCACGCTTTATTTATTTATTATGTTAATGCTATAATTTAAACTAATTTATGCACCAAGTCTCGTGGGTGTACTTTGGGCAAGTAGTGGAACACGAGGAGATAAATTTAACAATTATAAATAAGTGAATAAATTAAATAAAAGAGCACTGGCCATTTTTCTCAAGCGAACAGTAGTTAATGTGCGTAAAACCAAAACAGGAAGATACCTCTGTTCGATAAAAATCAAGATCCATGTTATTTGGAAAACTCGAACCATTGAATAAAATAATACCTAAAGTCAATCTTGCAATTATAGTGCTGATTATTATCGAAATTCCGTTTTTCTGCCTGTAATTGTGGGCTGTCAGTTTATCGACAGAGAGCTCATGCTTTTCTTTGCCTGCCACAAACCATCTCCAATCAAGGCCATTATGGCTTGAAAATAACTATAAGCGAATTTTCTAAGTGAAATTTAACCCTTAGATATTGAATAACAAATTCATAAGCGATATTTATTGCCTCTGGTTTGCCTTGATGTTGGGTGATTTACTCTTTTCTGATATGCAATTTATTATATCAGAGCATATTCAAATGCGTATTTTGTTAACTGGTTATGGAAGGGGAACAAACATTTATTTCCTATCGTCCAATATTGCTATGAATCAGGATATGATTTTGAGAACTTAATACCGTAAGGGATTTTCCATTCAGTTTTCAAGACAAAATTTCTCTTATAATACACCTTTTGATGCAAAGGCGGCAATTCGAAAAATTGAATACGATCTGTACGATATGCAATTAAATGTTACCTAATCAATTCGTAACTTCGTAACTGAATCCATAACTTTGTAAGCATTTAAAAAAATAACAGAAAGGCCAATAAAGATAATTTAGTTTAAATAATTTCCTTAGTCTTATTCAAGGAACAGCCAATGAATTTTCAATAGAGACACAATTCTGAATTATGTCTACATGATTTTTAATGCTGAAACCACATATAAAATAATAGAAAAACCCCAATAAATATAATTTAGTTAAAATTAAAATAATTAAAGTGCTTTAAAGAGGAAACAAATTAAAATTTTTCAGATTTTATTAATTAACGACATATAAACAGCTCCGACGTGACCCCCCCAAAATTATCATATATGTATATAAAGATAGTGTGTGTGTGAGATTATGTCAAAGCCTCAAGGGCTATCTGCCTAAGGGGAGGGATGCTTTCGTGGAGGACTTTCTAAGGGAAACTGTCTCGTATACACGTTACATATGAAAACACCCATGCAGCCAGCCCGTTCGCGGGATTCGAGCCTCGGAGCGAACTACCAGTGTTCAGCGACTTTACCGCTCAGCCGCTGGTGGGCATATATAAAGATAGTAAAAAGGATAAGAATTTTCATTGGGAAAATCAAGAGCAATGTGCTAATTAAATATTAAAAGCAATGTGCTAAATAAATATTAATTAAAATTTTAAATGAAGAAAAAGCAGAACTGCGAAAAAACTTTATAGATCGAAAGCAAATATTGTAAAACGAAAGTTAAAAAATTTTGAAGTCAAAATTACGAGGAAACAAATTAATTCAAAGTAAATTAATTAAAAATAAATAAAGATTTAAAATAATAAAAAAATGCAAAAAAGAATTTCCAATTTGGAAATAAAAATGGAAAGCTGATGGTCTAAAAAATAATATGCCTGGGCTTAATTCTGGAATACGTTACACACGAGATTCGGTGCAAATGACTTACATAAAATGAACGAGTATAGTAATTAGAAAATATTAATAAGAAACAATATTAATAACAAAAAATGCTATTAATCCCTGAGCTAAAAGGTAAATTTAAATGGGTGCACTGAATTCATAATTCTGATG